GGGGGGGGGCAAAGGGCCAGGACCCCCGCCCAGGCCCGAGCCTTGGCTGCTGGGGGGTAGGAGCAGAACTCCAGCCCTGCAGCCAGGCCCAAGGGCCGAGAGTGGCATTGCACGGGACGCCCCCCCGGCCCCACAGCACCCGCCAGATCGTGCCAGGGGCTGCTTGTCCCTCCCCCCATCTGCAGCCCTGCCCATGGCACACAGCCCTGCTGCCCCGCTCCAGCAGCTCAGCCTAATGGCCACGCTGGCCCAAGCAGACTCAGGCACAGAGCGTCTGCCAGCCAGGCACTCAGATCACAGGGGATGCTAAGCAAAGGGAAGCACCCAAGGCCATTCCCCCTCCCCCAGTGCTGCCGTGGCCTGAAACAAGAGGCAGGGCAAAGGCAGTGGTGCAGATGCCTTTACTGAAAAGATCGGTCTCAGCCTGGCAGGGCTGGCAGGGGGAGGAGCCCCTGCCCGCTCTGGACTGGGCCCCAGGTGCAGGGGGCAGGACAGGCCCAAGGGGCAGCTCTGGCACTCGCATGGCTTTTAGGTTCCTTCAGCTGCTGGACACACAAAGGAGCCAGTCCAAGGTGTGCAACATGTTCAGAGGGTGCTACTGCTTCCTCTCAGTCCAACGCCCCGTGCAAACTGCTCCAGCAGGCCCCCAAGGGCTCCGGAGGGGCTGGATGGCGCAGCCTTCAGGCCAATGGTGCTGCTGTAGGTGGCTAGGAAAGCAGAGCGCACCTCCTCCAGCCGGGACTCGCGGCCTGCCACTGGCACCAGCCTGCAAGACAGAAGGGGGAGGGGTCAGCAGCAGCAGCTTTCCCTGGAGCCAGCTAGCCCCAGCTGTACCCCACAGTGGGTTCACATCAGCCCTTCCCCTAGCAAGGCAGGAACGCCACAGCCCCCCATGGAGTCTGGCTGCGACCTCCCGCCAGCTGGCTCCAAGCCAGGGAGTTGGCAGCAGAAAGGTTCTCCCAGGTAGAACCTGTTACTAACCAGTCCCTGGCAGCTGGTGCTAGAGCAGGGGATCCTGGCTGGTGTCCTGCCCCCATGCTAGCCTCCTCTCAGGGTTCCAAGCCCCAACTCACAGCATCATGGCCCAGGGGCGGTGGGTGCTGCTTTCTCCCCCCATGAGGCAGCAGAACCAGCCCTTCTCTCTGCTTCCCCCCCCCCACACACCCTCCGTCACATCCCTCGTGTTTACAACAGTCCCAGACCTCCCAGCAGACAGCATCACGAGCTGTCTCCCTCCGTCCACACGGGCCTCAGCAGTTGGCTTTGCAGCTGACAGGCCAGAGCTGGGCCTGCAGCGCCTGCCGCCTGGCAGCGCCCTGGTGCAGCTCCATTGGCCCTTGCCAATACCTCGCTTTTTGCTTCGCCTGCCCACGTCTGCAAGGCCCCTAGGAGCCGTTTGTGTGGAAAATGGTACACTTCATTTCTGAGTTCACAGGTCCGATTTTACCCTGGATCCTGGCCAAATTCCAACCTAAGTGGGTCCCACATGCAGTTTAAGTGGATACCACTACACTTCACTTCCTCTGTAGTGAGTTGCAGTTGGGTGCATTGGGATCCTTCTGGACTGACGATTATAGTGATAGCATTTAGGGATCTTTGGGTATTTCCCACTTTCTTCTGGCCCTCTCACCTCCCGTCCTCGTACAGCCAGCTCGGAGCACGGGACAAGCTCGGTTGGATTATGGGAGGTGGGTGAGGGGGTGAAATCCCCAAGGGTTCCAGCCACAGGCACTAGAGTGAAGAGATTTTTCACATCTGTCCCCCTGCAAGCCTGCACTGTGTCTGCATCACTCTCCTAGAGCAGGGCCTGGTTCCCCTGGGACCTGCTCTCCTCTCCAGCTGCTGGAGGTACAGCTCCAGGGCAGGGGAGGAGAGAGAAGATAACATGATATTCCAGATGAGAGTGATTACAGTTCAAAGGCAGCTGTTCTAGGGTTTAGATCAGGGGTCGGCAACCTTTCAGAAGTGGTGTGCCGAGTCTTCATTTATTCACTCTAATTTAAGGTTTCGCGTGCCAGTCATACATTTTAACGTTTTTAGAAGGTCTCTTTCTATAAGTCTATAATATATAACTAAACTATTGTTGTATGTAAAGTAAATAAGGTTTTTAAAATGTTTAAGAAGCTTCATTTAGAATTAAATTAAAATGCAGAGCCCCCCGGACCGGTGGCCAGGACCTGGGCAGTATGAGTGCCATTGAAAATCAGCTCACGTGCCGCCTTCAGCAGACGTGCCATAGGTTGCCTACCCCTGGTTTAGATTGAAGCAGTCCTTGCTGTGTCTCCACCAAGGAGCAGAGCAGAGCGTGGTTCCCAGATAGAATAAGACATTCCTCAAAGGCTATGCCAAGGGCAGAGCACAAACTTTCCCCTAGAGGCTTCCCTTTAATCTCACTAGCGCCTGGCTGGCTCTCCCTTGGCACAGTTAGTGAGTGGAAGCGTTAACCGCCCACAGCCAACAGCATTCGTCCGGAAACAGCAGCAAGAGGGGAGATCGGGTGGGAGGCTTAAAAACACCAAGTGATACTGAGGCAGCCAACTAGGCCGCTAGTTACTGTCCTAAAAGCCAAGCAGGAGGGCATGCTGGAGAGGCAACACATTTACAAATACAGAGGAACTACTTTAGCCTGTGGAACTCCCTGGCACAGGATATTAAGGCAACTTGTTAAAATTCAAAAAAAGAATGACATTTATATGACAAATAAAAAAAATCTCCTAGTGTTCAGATAATCAGACTGTTTTATGATGCAGCATAGAAACAAGGGCACATCTTTGGCTGTGCATCTGGACTTGCCGTCTATTTACTTCCCAACTTTCAGCTGCTTACCTGCGCAGCTTTACTGTAGTGCTTCATATTTAGATTCCCTGTTTATTTTTGAAGGGGAAAAAAGTGGCCTGGTTTCCTTCAACAGAGAGAGGTCAACTAATGGTTGTTGGCACTGCAGACTAAGTCATGTATACACCCACTGATGAGCACTCAAAGATCTGAGGCAGGCTTTCAGCCAGACGCCCAGTTTTGCCATCGTGTAGATAGTAGGTTCGGATACTGCGGAGGTGTTAAAGCTTCACGGAACGTTTAAACCCCAGCTAAGGGGGCAAGAGGATGCAGCACGAGACAAGACTATGTCCAGGCCAAAACTCCAAACTGGAGCCTTTTTGGTAGAGGCCCACAAGAGATTCTGCGTAACGACTCTTTGGAAAATGTCCTGTCAGCAGAGAGCAAGCCTGGGAAAGCTCAGCCCATTAGGTGCAAGCTGCATACCCAGAGGGAATTAAAATGGAAACTGGTTTGCATCCTGAATTAAGAGACAGCTGTAACGGTTACCAACAAAGGCTGCTACTCAGCAGAGAAGTAAGGACGTGAACCCCAGAGCAGGCTTGGAGAAGTGCCCTGGATTACCAGAGGCAGACCACTCCCAAGAGCCGGTCTAGCCCCAGCATGTGGAGGTTAAGTAGGTCACAGGTCTGAAAGCCATGGAAACCCAAGGCAGGTGGACATGGGGGCCACGGTCTCAGTTGCAAATATTTTGGGGGTAGCAGTGGTTAATCGATGATACAAATCTGAGGAAATGTGCAATTCTCCCTTGTCCATTGCCCTCGGTCTGACTGGGCCCAGAAGTTACACTCGGAGCACTTCACATGCTCCAGATTCCAGGTGCAGACCTGTCCACTGCAGCAGAAGGACCTTGCCAGGACCCACAAGTCACAGCTGTGGAGCTAGTGACTCTTCACACTGAAATCCCAAACCAGAGGCAACATGTCCAGGAGATTGTGCTGGCTTGAGGCCAGACCCACCTAGGACTTCAGAGTGAGCCTCAGGTGCAATCCCACATTGTTAGTACTGCCCGTTCCCAGCACTGCAGCTACTCTACCCCGGGGGGGAAATGGACGTCTCATTACATATTGGGTAAGAAACCTGCAGCAATCACCAAAGGACAGACATGGATTAGACTAGTCACTCATTGACACTATGTCCTTCAAGATTTCTCCTCCCCCCCCCTTCCTGGCTGTCAATCACATCTCAGAGCTGCACCGAGGGCTTCTCGCAAAGGAGGACTTGTCACCACCTTGTGTGGCTGAAGCTTGGGTTAGAAGAGGCCTTTCTGAGATCGTGCCCAGCATCCCTCCCAGGGTTTCTGGCTGTTAGTTTAGGGTTTGCGGCAGTGGAGGAAGGTACCGAAGCTGCTGCTGTGGTTCTGGCCTGCAGGACAACAGAGGTCACATTTCATCAAATACGGCTGGTCGCATGGACAGTTTGTCTTAAAAAAAAAACACGTTTTCCAGGTCTCCGACCCTCCACCTCACCCCGTTTTATGAGGCTTCCTGAAGCCCTCACGCACAGTACGTTAAAAGGATGCTAGGAGAGAGCAGAGCAGTTGTCTTCAAAACTAGAGCAATAAGATTAGCTCACAGTGCAGCGCACAGACTGAATCCACCACTTTGCAATCACTAGATTGACAGTTCAGAGGGTAGAAGCACCGGCCTACATTTTTTTAGTTGCAATTAAAATGCATTTAATGTCTTTGAAGTTCCCTCACAAGTAACTTTCTGTTTCTGGAGCAGAGTGTTTGCTTCACAACAGTTCTATGAAGCAAACGTCAGTGTTTATTTGGCAGTGGGGGCTGCACGGACCCATGCTCCGACATGGCACGAGCACGTGGACAGCTGTAAGACAAGCTGAGGGTGGAGGAAAGGATGGGGAAAAAAGCAGCAGCTCAAAGAGTTTGGAGGGTCTGAAGTCCTTGAGTGCCGGGGACTGGACTAGATGAGCTCTCGAGGTCCCTTCCAGTTCTATGATTCTTAAACATGGTAGAGATAAAGGGTCTATCTACACAGCAAAGAAAAACCCATGGCTGGCCTGTGCCAGCCGACTCGGGCTGTGGGGCTGTTTCACTGCTGTGTAGATTTCCAGGCTTGGGCTGGAGCCCAGAAATCAACATAGCAATGAAACAGCCCTGCGAGTCCAAGTCAGCTGGGTTCTTTGCTGTGTGGACAGACCCAGCGAGGCTAAGTGGGATCCAGGGAAAGAAACAGGCCTGACTCACTCCTCCCATCCCCCCTCAGTGTTATATGGCAGAACTGCAGCCTCTCTCTGAACTTGTGCCCAAATGGTGCAATGGCTCCAGCGAAGAGCCCGGATTCCTTCCCCTGCCCCAAGGCTGGGCACGGGTCACCCAGCACTCAGCAACCAGGTAGTGTGTGCGCCGTGGCTTAGCTCAGAGTGCACTTCTGACAAGCGTTAAGGCAGGGGAGACTTCGGGAGCCCTAATTATTCTTGAGGCTAATGCAGCTCTCTGGCTTGTCCCAGTTTCCTAGCCAGCCAACTGTTACGCACAGGGAGCCATCCTCTGTGCTCAGGACACTTACAGGCAACTGTTAGGGAGCTCATCCGGGAAGCTGCCAGGGAGAGCGGCGTCTGTGCTCAGGATTGCATGCTCCTGAATACTGCCACACCCTGTTACCATCTGCCAGCTGCCAAAGTCTGTAGAAACGGAGGATCCAGGCAGGGAGTGGTCCACTGATCTGGGTCAGAAAGAGAGAGGGGACATGGGGCAGTCAGTGAAGTCATGCAATCACAGGCTTTTCTGCTAAACTCTTGTGCCAGTGGGCACAGCGGGGTTGACTGCCAACATTTGGTGCCAGCACGTTCCGATTCTGGAGGTGAGGGTGCACTGACAAGTGATTCTGGCACATAGCACAAGGCAAACCTTCCTTCCAAAAGCAAAAGGAGAAGCCAAGCTGGTTGTGACTGAGAAAGCAGTAGATTCATTTGTGAGCTGGTAGAGCAAAGCTAGCAAGAAACAGAGGATCATGCAGGAACAGGGAAACCCATCAGCACGTCCTGCCCCCAGAACCAGAACCATGGACACTGCCCCACAAAGGGCATGCCTCCACAGCCCACTTCAGCTATTAACACATCCAAATGCAACTGCGGGGACTTTGAGAATAAGAATGTGGCTTGTCTGGTGCCTTCACGTACCGGAGACAGTTTGGGAGAGTCCTCGAGAGCCCTGCTTCTGCAGTCAGTGGAATGTGAGTCCCTGAGGGAACCCTGATCTTGGGGGAGAAGGCAGAGCAGCGAGCACAGAACTGAAGACCTATGAAGACGCTTTGTATTCACTCATCAGGAGCAGGATGCTGCAGTAGCAGGCAGTTAGGCAAAAGGCCCCCAGGACAGGAAAAGGAGCCCAGAAAAGAGGATGTACTCAATGCATGCAGCCTCCTACCAGAAAGAGAAACATGAGTGGACTGGAGGAGTTCCTCGGACAAATCTCCACGAGCAGACGCCTGGGAGTGCCTAAAGGCATTGGACCCTGCAACGTGGCAGTGTAGGCACATGGCCCACGACGCAGAGTTCTCAGCAATCTGAAAGGTGGCTCTGAGTGTGACAGCATGATGGTGGGGAACTGGAGAGCAAACCGGCATTGCCGTTTACTTGCTGATTTTACAGTAGCAACCTAAGGAAGAACTGAAGAAAAATCCCTGGGCTATTAGCAGGCCATCATAGCCTGGAGCTCGGCAGCTGCTGGCATTGCCAAAGGCTGGAGTTTGCCTTTGACCAGCAGTAGCCATCCAGAGTCTTAAAGGTCACCAGTTCATGCAGAGAAGAGTGTGTCTCCAGCTGTAAAAGGCCATGACACCTATATCAGAGACACTTGATCGGTTCTCAATGCAACAACCTCTGGATTCTTAACATGGCTCAGAATTAGCACAGGCCTCTCCCAGAATGGGGGTTGGCTGTTAAAGCTTATCACGTGCCTGTTACCTGGGTGCCTGTGCTGAGAGATGTATAGCCCTGTCCCCAGACTCTCCAGTTCATTGATTTTCCAGGGATTCTGCTGCTCTCCCCCGGCGAGGACTCCCATCCCAGCAGATAAAAGCTTCTGGGGACACCCTCCCCGGAGAATGACGATGCTATTTCAAGGTTGGAAGAAGGATCTCCTGGTTCCCAGGAAAGAGGGCACGAACCCAAGCAGTAAGAGCTGTTGGTGGTAAGAGCAGAGCCTGCTCCAATGCTTCCAGTGAGCGCTGGAACGCTGCACGTCACAGGTGGAAACGCAGAAGCCAGGTTCTGAGGGCTGATCCCAAGTGATGTTTGCTACAGGGAAGAATTCCCTGCTCTGGCAGGTGGGCGTCGCTGAAGCACAAGGTTTAGGGGACAAATGTAAAGAAGCCAGTTTGCTCCCCCAAGGCTACACTTACATGGTGCTTTGCAAACCGGTAACAAGGACATCCCACGCCCTAGCCCAAGGAGCTCCTCGTACCCAGAGCCACAGTTCAGAGGTGCTCTCCCCCTCCCCTCTTAGATCTCCTTGAGAGAAAGGAGCAGGGATCTAAAGGAAGAGAGGATGCTGGGCAGATGAGGACAGTACAATGCTGATAGCCAGAAGAGGGGAGAGGATTGGGAAGAACACAGGAAGCAAGGTGCAGCAGGGGAAATGAGAGTGGAACTGCAGGTGAGGGCTGGTGTCTGGGTGAGGACAAGGCTGTAGCAAGAGGCAGGATGGCAATGGGAATTCAAAGAAGAGGTGAGGAAGGGCCTTTGGAGCCCCAGTAAGGAGCAATCAGAGGCAGGGAGGCCAGACCCAGGAAGGTGACAGTAGCTACGGTGCATTGCAGGCAGGCGGAAGGAAGGTGAATTAGAGCTCGACAAAGCAGCAAGAGAACTTAGCAATTGGCTGTGGGGAGAGGGGACACGTGAAATGACAGCAGGATTATGGGAAGGATTGTGAGTTGCCAATAGAGCCAGGCAAGAGAAGCCGGGGGCAGGGGCTGGGCAGAAAGGTCAGGAGATCTATTCTGGAGGGGTGGAGTTTGAGAAGAAGCCGGGTGGAGAGGGA